AAAATAGAAAAAAAATGTATGAAAACCATAGTAAATTATACCGTATTGGCTATGCATAAAAAACACAAAATTCTTTACTTCCTAAGGACATAACTTCAAAACTAAGCCTGACCAACAAATTCTGATTGCACCATTGTTCTTATCTCATCTGTTAACAATAAAAAACAATAAGTTAGTGAAAGTAATGCGAAAGCAGTCCCCACTCCGGCTCTCGATACCACGAAAAAAAAAACAATAAGTAATAAGAATAATATAGAAAATATACAAATATGAATAACGTGAAGATTAGACTGTTCATTAATAAAACTTCAGAAACTTTTTTCACCTATTTTAGATCTCTAGACTAGTTTCTTTTTAATCGAACGTGAATTTGTGGTAATGTAAGAGAAGACATATTTTGAATGAAGGGGTTTATGTGGTTTGTTAATTTTGAATAGAAACTTTTGTAGTGGCTTTTTGCAAGCTCGTTTACTGATTGTATTTTTTGGTCATCAGGGAGGGAGGGCTGCATTTGTTATATACCATGGAGCACCAATGATAAGTCTTAGGGTAATTAACTGAAAGGCTTGTATAGGGTAAACGTTTGAGGGTTTTAGGAAGCCCAAATTTGGATGCTGTATGACAATACTGGCCTGATGATTACTTTACACCATTGTTCTAAAATAGTTAATATCAGTAAGTTCCAAAAATAGGGGTGGTAAAGAGCATTTGTTTCTAAATTTAATTTGTTTTCATGACTTTAATACTTACTAAATACATTGGAATATATTTGTAGCTGATATAGCATCCGGTTATCCCAAACAAAATTAATACAACATATTTCATTTTATCTTTTGGTCTTAGATGTTCACGTTCTGAGCAATCATGTTTAATATTATTTGATTTCAGCTCTAAGTCTTCTAAAGCATCTTTTGCTGTCTCTATATTATCTATTAGTATGTTTTTTTCTGTGAGTTTTGTATATCTACGGCGAATACCAAGGAAATTTCTATCAATAATATTATATTGAATTTGTTCTTCTTCAGCTTCATCAATTTCATTAGATATCATAGAAACAGAATCATCATCTTGACCCGAATCATCAGTTTTCCTAATAATAAATAGTATTTAATATTATTTTGAATATAAAATTAAATTATCATTCATTACTTTGATCCCATGCTTAAATCACCACCACTCTCGCTCCTCCACAATCCTTCTTTAATATCTGATAAAAAACTATCAAGGCGCTTAATAGTCGTATCACAAGGTGAAGATTCAGCATCTAAGCTAGTTGATCTCTTCAATCCAAATAGACCTAAGTATTGAGAATTCCCAGATGTTTGTTCAGGAGATTTTAATTGTTCATCAGTCAACCCTAATATAAATAAACAATAATACATCTTTTATGATACACAAAATAGACAACAATTAATAATAGTCATATTTAAAAAGGATAATAAAATTTGTTTAAATAATTTTGTTTACAATATCTCTATGCAAGTGTAAATACCTGTTGATTGTATTTTTGTTGGAATGGTACACAAACCTTCTACCTCCTCATCTTCTGCATTGAACCGTACCGAAAACGACATTTTATCTAAAATAAAAATTACATAAATTATTTTGGAAAACTAAAAATTTAAACGAAGCTATAATACAGTAAAATGATTTTGTATTCACTTAATATGTCACACACATTGTATACATGCATAAAATATCAATATATACTGAAAATTAAAACAATACAATTATGTGACCTTCTACAATGGTATTATAATAGCTAATCGGTGTTACGCCAAAACAAACAATAGGTACTTACCCTTTCCCACACTTCTTCGAGTTTTTGACAACTMCATGATACACCATGAACGTTGTGTTCTTACATAAGGAGCTTAAAAAATTGTTTTATCAACTTAAGGTGTTCGATAARTCCTCGTGAAAGTTGTAATTTTCATTTTAATATTATWAATATTAATTTTTAATTCATAAAAATACAGGTAATAATTAAAGTTTCAAATCATAAAGTATTATAAAAATGTACYTTATCAAACAAAATTAAATATTGACTATATCAGATTATCAACATAGATCAATAGAATATCGATTGTAAGCAAGCCGTTGTCACAGATATAGATAGTATATTATCTATATCTTTGTTGTCGTCATCGAGATAGATAAGAATACTGGAGCGCGCACTACTCGTACTTGACACCAAAAAACGGTCAGGTTAAAATGTTATCCCCACCACTGTACGGCAAAAAATAATACACTAATGAGTAGTGACTATAACAAAGTCACCATCATACTGTTATTACCTATTAGTGGAGTACCTACTTTCAATTCATTTTGATGAACCAATTCATGTGATTCAACTCATTTAAATGAATCAGTGATTCAATGATTGATCATAGATGGTTCATTCATGAATTACTCTTTCTACCGAGTTCTGTAATATACCTATGTTATAATAATATAATATGTGGTACTGCTCAAGGGGAGTTTTATAAMACAGCATAGGTGTGATTACATTACAATTTATATTTGCGTTTTTATATATTATAATATACATATAAAAAAAAGCGGGTTAGTGGATGTCGCTTTGCTGCGTATATTAGGTGGTGGGGTGGACCTCTGACTAGGGTAGGTTAGATTTGAATGCAATGATAGGTAACATTGTATACGAAAAACGGTTCTGAACGGAGATGATTTGTCAGTCTAGAAAAAATTATATTTAAATATTGTTATATATTATATTTTGAAACAAATATTTTATTTTTCAATTAGGACGCATTTTGCATAAGGCATGGTTAATCAATTTTTCCAAAAACATTGCATGTAGTTATCATATGAAGTAAAGTTGAACATAAATCAGGAAAATATACTCGATTATTTCCATACTGACCAACAGTATAGCAACGATTACAAGAAATTTTGGCTGTATGTCCCT